ATTCCTGAGACACGAGAAATGGTTTTAATTTAATTCAGGTTTAAAAGTTAAGATAAGATACTAGAGCTTGTAGTCAGCAATGCTTTGGGATTTTAGAACGGTAGACAAAAAACCCCATACGTATCAAACTCCTTCCTTATTACTCTGGTTCTGATTTCTCTCGGATTTGACCTAGCTGATTAACTCTGACCATAGCAGGCATTGACAAGTGTCAATGCTTTTACTTGAGTGCCTGGTGCTTACGGTCAGCTTTATAGTCTTGTTGGTAGACCTTACCCCACCGGTCACGTTGTCTTTCCTCCCTGTAGATGAAGAGGAAGACGAGGAAGAGGTTTATAAAATGGCGGGCGTGATGGCTCAGTGTGGAGGCCTGGACTGCATGCTGAACAGACTGACTGGAATCAAGGATTTCAAACAGGGTCGACACCTCTTAACAGTGAGTCTGAGCTACCGCAAGGTTTTTGCAAGGCACATCTGTGTGTGTGTGTGTGTGTGTGTGTGTGTGTGTGTGTGTTTAAGGCTTCTGAGTGTTTCCTTACAGTGCTTTCCTTACAGAAAGGGACCACTCAGCAAAGCTCCCTCTTCTGCAACAGCTGGTTGCACTGCAGCTCCATTAGTAGAGCAGACCAGTTTCAGTGTCATTGTACCAGTTGCCTCCTTTTTCTTCTTAATCCCTCTGTTAAATTCTTCTGCCAAATCATTGACACCACATGGCAGTTGACAGGATTGGGTCCCTGTTTACTTGCATGGTTATTTTCTGCATGACAGAATCTGACTGGAAAATCAATCTCCCTGCAAAGGTTCACCTTTGTGGAGCTGTCACCTTGTCCTTCCCCGCAAAAGATTTTGGGAAGTGAACTAGATTGTCGGGAGCTTTTTGTTCCAGCTCATTCCTGCCACGTCTCTCAGGAATATTTTGTAGGATGCACTCTCTTCTTTGGTAGGTGCTGCTAAAGCTGTTCAGCTACTGCGTGAAGGTGAAAGTAAACCGTCAACAGCTGGTCAAGCCTGAGATGAACACTTTGAATGTCATGCTGGGGACGCTGAATCTGGTAAGGACAAGTTTTAGACCACAGTGGGCTTAGAAATGGTTGTCTTCGAGCCTTCTGCAAGGAGAAAAAACTGATGACCTTGGCGTTACTGCTGCTGGGATGAAAGCTGCACACCAGGGCTATGGCTGTAATCTGCTAGAAGCCACAGAAACAAAAGTGTTGACTTAATGTCCCGCATCCTTGAGACTGAGAGGCAGTTATCTGAAGAGCAGCATTGCAGATAACAGAACTTTTGCCCCCATTTTATCACTCCTGTTAATCCCCTTCGGAAATGAACAGCATCCTCTTCAAAAGATTTAACCAAGTCTCTGAAAATTACTTTTGGCTACTGTTCAGCTACCCCAAATGTCAGTCCTGCTTTCCTTCATAGCAACTAGGAGAGCTCAGGTCTGAGCTATGGGTGGTTAGCCTTGTTCTTCATATGTTCTGCTGGTTATTTCCTGTTTAGTGGTAACTGGGAATTGATGATGAGGCTGAGCCAGTACTGCTGGTGCCGCCATGGTGATTGAGACTGTCTTTTCTGCAGGCCCTGGTGGCTGAGCAGGAAAGCAAGGACAGCGGCGGAGCAGCTGTGGCAGAACAGGTGCTTAGTATCATGGAGATTATACTGGATGAATCCAATGCAGAACCACTGAGTGAAGACAAGGTGAGTGTTTGGTGCTGGCTGGCACACAGTGGGAAATGCTGACTATAACTTAAGGCTTCTGAGTGTTTCCTTCCAATGGTGCGTATAGAAGGGGACATGCATAGAGATGTACGGAACCAGGAATCTCGGCTGTGTTGTCAAGTACGGTAGTTCTGGGTTGACTGATCCTTGTGGGAGGATAGACACGGAGCCAAAAGCATTGCCAGCTTTCTGCCAGATAGTTTTAAAAGGCTTTTCTCCCCCTTGCTGTAGGTCAGATCGGTGATATTAACTGACACAGGAGGCAGCTCTTCCCTGCCCTTCAGCAGGCTTTTATACAGGTTCTGAAAATACACTTGAATATGAGTTACCAGCAACATAAGCTGTTAATTGCACCAAAATCACCAAGAAATAGAACGTATTTTGCCTCTGTTATCCCAGTGCATCTACTAGGACTGTTAATGCTTGTCAGCCAGTCCGCCTTACGGGCTTGGGAGTAAGTCAATTTGACCCGAGAACATCTCAACAGTGGCTGCAGAAAGTCAGGTGTTGATCAGAGGGGGGCAATACCTGGGAATGCATGAAGGATTCAGCTTCCCCACAACAAGGAGAGTTCTGCCTTTGGTTGCTGGCTTGGGTTGTCATCCTACCGTCTTGCTGAAATCCATGAGCTCTTGTTCCTCAGGATTGGGAGTGGTCAGCAAGCCACTGAAACGTGAGGGTTTCCCTGATGCATGTAGATGAATCCTGAATGCGAATCGTTCTTCCCTTTGCAGGGCAACCTCCTCCTGACTGGTGACAAGGATCAGCTGGTAATGCTGCTGGATCAGATAAACAGCACCTTTGTCCGCTCCAATCTCAGCGTCTTGCAAGGCCTATTACGCATCATCCCTTATCTGTCCTTTGGGGAAATGGAGAAAATGCAGATCCTGGTTGATCGATTCAAGCCCTATTGTAACTTTGACAAGTATGTTTAGGTTGTTTTTTTTCCTCCTGATTTGAGCACAAAGGATCAATTAAATTAAGTTGTCTTTAATAAATCGAGATCTCTGCTCTTTACAATCTAACGCAGGGTTTCCAGGCTGGTATATAAGCTTAATATGCCATCTTTTTTTTTTTTTTTTTTAAGAAAAAAACCCATCAAGATAAAACCATCTTCTTTTTTTTTTTTTAAGTGCTATGTGAACCAAAAACATTGGGAAGTGCTGGTTTGCAGGGTATTTGCAGAAGGACACATCTCTGGCTTGAGGAGGGGAATTCTTTATAGGGCTGGATGTGATGTGTGTGTTCATTAACAGGCAGAATGAACAGTCATACGCGCTGAGTCTACAAGAGAGAGTCTTACATATATTGCCGTTCCTGTCCTCACTTAGGTACGATGAAGAACACAGTGGAGACGATAAAGTTTTCCTGGACTGTTTCTGTAAAATAGCAGCTGGCATAAAGAATAACAGCAACGGCCATCAATTGAAAGATCTCATCCTCCAGAAGGGGATTACTCAAAATGCCCTTGACTACATGAAAAAGCATATCCCTAGTGCAAAGAAGTAAGAGTTGCTTTCTATGTAGCAATCCTGTGCATCTTAGCCTTATTCCATCTTCCATCAGATGAATATTTTTTTTCCAAAATAAGTGTTAGGAATTCTATACTTGGAAAGAGTTTGGCTTGGTGAAACTATGGGGAGTATAATCTTGAGAAAATCCTTCAGTCACTGGTTTAGATCATCTAACAGGCTCTGTTGCTACTGAGGGCCTTAAAACCAAATCTAAAGTGAACAACTGATTGGCGTGCTCTTACTATGTGCAGTGTGGAGAGGAGAGATTGTTGACCTAATTCCATGCAATTGGACCTGAGGAAAGGTACTTTGTGCTTGATAGCTTGTTGAAGATCTCTCCCAACTATGCAGGTGGTCCAATAAAAGATATCCTCCCAAAAAATCCTTGCTGCTCACTTTGTGTAACTTAAAATCTATACCAAGGTGTTACACTAGGGTGGGATGGAACAGTCTGGACCCTTCGACTAGGTTTTAAATGTATGTGTGTGGAGTGGGGCACAGGAAGGGGACCTGGTTTTCAGCCCATCTGGTGTAATCCGGACTGTTGGCTGGAGTGTAGCCGTCTTTTCAGCACTGGTAACTATTGTTGAGGCACTTCATGGTATTTTTTACCTTTTTTGTGTAGTTTGGATGCAGACATATGGAAGAAGTTCTTATCTCGCCCTGCACTTCCCTTTATCCTGAGGTTGCTTCGAGGGCTGGCCACACAGCACCCTGCCACACAGGTGAGAGCTTCTGTCTTGGAAATGAGTCGGAGGACACATGGCTGCTTTGGTAACGGACTTTATATGACGGCTACCGCTAACACAGTATTCTCGTAGTAGCCGATTACCTGTTTTTTGTGGTTTAGGTGGAAGGCCACTTACTGTAGGCTGTCAGTCGATCTCTTTGGAAAGGCTAGTCAATTTATGACATCGTTTAAATGGAGAAATTTTCAAAATAACTACTTTCTGGTACTGACTGGCACAAAATTTGCTACGTTCCCTTTGAAGAAATGATGGTTGAAGACTGCTCTGAGAGAGGTTCCCTTTGGCCTAGCTAATATTTTAAGTACTTGCATAGCAGTCTTGTTTCAGTTCCTAGTACTGTCCAGCACACGGACAAAACTGCGCATTTTGGGGATATAATTTTAGGGCGGGTGCATCACAGAGGATGGCAAAAGTCCAGTCTTGGGAAGCTGTGGTATTACAAGGAAGTGCTTCCTTAACATTGCTCGTAGTGGCCCACACCTGTAGCTATCGCACATCTTGGCTGTTGTGGGAGGGCCTACGTGGAAATTCAGTTCTCTTTGGGTTTGCTTCACAAGGGTGCCGTGTTTCAATCTTTTAACAGGCGCTAATAGGTACGGACTCCATTACAAACCTGCACAAACTTGAACAAGTGTCGAGCGATGAAGGGATTGGGACATTAGCTGAGAACCTGCTGGAGGCACTAAGGGAACATCCAGAAGTGAACAAGAAGATAGACGCAGCCCGCAAGGAGACCCGTGCAGAGAAAAAGCGCATGGCCATGGCGATGAGGCAGAAGGCTTTGGGCACATTGGGCATGACGGTAAAGTTCCTCTGCATGCATGGAGGCCAGTGCTGTCTTTATCGTCTGTTGTCTTGGGGAATATGCCACTTCCTTTTCTTTGGGTTTTTTGTGACTTGGGGAGAGTGAAAGTCGCATATCAGACCTGAGGCTAGAATTCCTCTGACCCGGTGGTGCTGGTGGTGGCTGGGGAACTCCAGTTGTGGGGTCAGTGGTAATGCTCCTTATTGCCTGTGGGCCAAAAAGAATGGGATCCCTCCCGGTAAGGAGTAAACAACAGTCCTTGCCCTGACTACAAGCCTTAAAGGACAGGACACACACAGGATGGGGAAAGGGTATACTGTATGAGAGCAAAGTCATCAGTGTGTTGGAGGCAACTGTCACATTAGCCACACAGTGTGTCTTATGTCTGCAATAGTCTCAGGTCTTGTCACCTGGTGGCCAGTGGCTTAAGAGCTTTCTATACACCAGCAGTTTCTTGTTGTAATCTAGAGTGGCAGGAAATCCAAAGTACCAAGCATTGTAATTCCTCCTTAATTTTGATTGGCAACATTACTTAATAAAAGGTGAAGGGTTTCTAATTCAGCTGATAGGCCGCTGGCAGCTGTAAAACACAAAATGCTGCTTGAGTTTAATGTTCTTCCTTTCTAGTAACAAACTTGCTCTCTGACTTAGCAAGTGTGAATTCCTCTCTGGTTTCATTCTCCTAACATGCTTGACTTGCTCTCTCTCTTACAGACTAACGAGAAGGGCCAGGTGGTGACAAAGACCGCGCTCCTCAAACAGATGGAGGAGCTAATAGAAGAACCAGGACTGACCTGCTGTATCTGCAGAGAAGGGTATAAGTTTCAGGTATGGCATCAGGAAGGCCCTAACATGATACAGGGAGATCCACAACTGTGTATCCTAGTGCCTGACTGAGCCACAGCATACTGCAAGACCAGGGGATTATTCCTGAGATCAGTAGGGCTCTGGTGTGCTTTGGAAACAGGAAGGTGCTCTCAAACTCCTTTTGCCTCTAGCTCTCCTCTAATTCTGGCGAAGGTGCTGGTTTCCAGGAAGGAGGTGTGGAGCTCCTCCAAAGTGTGTGTAGGATCCTCCACAGCTGGTTGGTACGAAATACCCAGCTTTAAACAGACCCAACGAAATACCCAACCTACTTTAAACTTTAAAGGCGTTTTCTGGTGGGCTGGTTCTGTACACAGAACAGAGGCTTAGCAGTCTGTTAGCTGGAGTGGATAGGTCCAACAGAAAAGTCTATGCCCGTCTCTTCTGTTACTCGGTTTTGCTGTGGGGCGTCACACTCCAGTTTCCAGTGTAGCCCTAGCTTCCCTGTTTCCATGACTCCCCTTTCCAGATGGGAAAAATGAGTTGGTTGGTGGAGACTTGGAAAGCTTGTTTGACTCTAATACTTTCTTATGGACATAGGGTCAATTAACTCTTGAATGGTTGGCAAGCTATTAACCGCTCACAGGCACAAGTATTTCATCTCTAATGAAGCTCTGGTTGGCCGTTACAGCCTGCGAAGGTCCTGGGGATTTACACTTTCACCAAGCGAGTTGCGCTGGAGGAGTTTGAGAACAAACCCCGCAAGCAGCAGGGCTACAGCACGGTCTCTCATTTCAACATTGTCCATTACGACTGTCACCTTGCTGCTGTGAGGTAAGATCTTCTCGCCATCCGCCAGGCCGTGGCGCTGGATGTTCCCTTCCATGGTGTTTCATCAGAGCATTTAATATCCCTTACACTATAATTTGACATGGGCGTGCTCTCATGTTCACCCCACAGCTAAAGAACAGCCATTGTTCTCCACGTTTAATTATGGCCTCCCTTAATGCAGTTAGACATTGTGAAGCACTTGGAAGTCAAAAAGCTTTACGTGATCTCCTAAGTGACGGTTGAATGACCCTAAACAGCTACAGCATCACCGCCCTTTTTGATCATTTGGACAAAATCGTCTGCGTCTCTAACCTATCTGCACATGGTGCCTTTTTGCCAATACAGACTAGCCCGTGGTCGGGAGGAGTGGGAGAGCGCAGCTCTACAAAATGCCAACACCAAGTGCAATGGGCTTCTCCCAGTCTGGGGGCCTCATGTGCCGGAGTCTGCCTTCGCCACTTGCTTAGCCAGGTGAGTACCGAATGCTCCTCTTCCTGATGGCTGGTGTCCTAGGCAGGAGGTGTCTGAGGCATACACGTTTCAGACTGCAGGCAGAAGGTGATATTTTAGCCCTGTTAGCATTGAGGTTTCATAACTGATCAGAGTTCCAGATTGCAAGGCATGGCTGTAACACGGGTTGCACTGCTATGTCATTTCGTTTTTCTCTCCTGGAGACGAATAGGGTAGAAACAGGAAAAACCAATTACCTTAGCCCCAAGCTAACTGTGAACCTGCAGCATGTCAGCACTGACTGCTCGTGCAGCACGGCTGGTATCTGTTTCTTCTAAGAAATGAATTCCTTGACACTGGCCACCAGATGCAAATTTTGCACCTGTCTCTTCTAACCCCCCATCAAGCACTAGTGCGATGAGGTATCTGGTGAGGAGCAGAGGGCATCTCCGGCGGGGTTACCAAGTTGATACATCTGTGTGTCATGGCTCGGTTTTTAATCACTTCAAGGTCGTGAGTCTCCATTCTTCACTGTTTTGTGCTTGCGGCTGGGCTTGAATCACCAGCAGTGGAAACTGAAGGGATGGTAAACTACTTTAATCTTCATGCTGATGAATTCTTGTGCTCTCTGAGCAGTCTCAGAGGGAGCTAATCATGGTGGGGGCTCGCACGACAAACCTGATTGACACCAACAAGTCATTTGAATATATTGCCAAACAGCTGTCGGATGGTAATGGCTTCCAATCACTGTGGGATTCTAACCCTTGACCCGAAGCGGAAAGACTCCGTATCTCATTACCGGTGCTCCGAGCCATCAAGTCCCATCCCTCTGTGTTTGTACTGTTGTGTTAGATACTAGAATTAGTTGGACCTCCAGCCTGTATGCATTAGGGAGCCTTATCCCTGGCAGTGGCCCACCTAGTAAAAAGGGGAAGTACCAATGTTTATATGCAGGAAGACCAGCCTGAATTGGATTTCCAGACGAAGGTGAAAGACCTACGGCATTAATTGCAGATGTTTGGGTGTTTGAGTCTCCTGATTTTATTCTCTTGGTGCCCTTCTCTGCTGTATCTGCACAGGTTCTGATCCATCTTGTTTGCAGCAGGCAGGAATTTGTTTAGCTGCGTTCCCAAAGGTGGCTTAATACGTACAGTATAATCCACCACTCTCTTTTTTTTTCCAGACACAACACGTACCTCCAGGAGTGCACGGGGCAGCGGGAACCCACCTACCAGCTCAACGTCCATGACATTAAGCTACTGTTTCTCCGCTTCGCTATGGAGCAGTCATTCAGTGTGGACACCGGAGGAGGAGGAAGGGAGAGCAACATACACCTCATTCCATACATAATTCACACTGTGCTTTACGTCCTCAACACGTCAGTATCTGTGTGCGTCTGTCTTGGCTGTCTGTCCCCCACTAGTGACAGGGTGACTCTTGGAGCTCCAGATGATAAATACATGAACAGCTGCCATAGAGCCTCCTGTTGGGTGTCGCTGTGGGTGTGGAAGCTTACCCAGCTTGCTGGGGGTAGAGGGAAATGGCAGAGGGGACAGAGATAAATCTTGCAGCAATTGTGGTCCTGTTCAGGACTGTGAAATGTGCACAGTGGCATTCCAGCTTGACATGGAGGAAGAGAGCTCGCATGCAGGGTGCGTTCACGCTGCACTGTGTGCATTTCCTCCCTTACAAGAGAGGTGACTGGAAGACAGGACAACCTCTAAGTGTTTAAAAGGGAGCAGAATACACCCCTGATGCAGGTTGTTGGAGGTAGTAAATATTTTGCAGCAAAACACAGCCATTTGGGATGTTCAGGGAACCTAGTAGAGAAAAACAAAATGTGATTTACCTCCTCTTCCATTCTGCGTGTAAGCATCATTTCCATGCTGGAGGATGTTTGGGTTACTTGAGCGAAGAGCACGCTGCCAAGGTTAAGCCATGTTTTGGAAGCAGGTGCTCTGATTTTTCTCTCTTCTTGGAAAGCCAACTAGCCAGTTTCCCTTCCAAGTTCTCATGCTGTAGCACTATGCTGTAATGTTTGGATTGCAAGGTGCTGCAGTGAAATGCTCACTGGAATAAAAATTCTGCTTCTGTCAATAAAATGGATGGATAGATGGATTAGATTAGATTAGATTTCTATTTTTTTACAAATCCTAAATATCAAACCCAGTTTGGCCTTGACAGCATGTCCAGCTGCACGGCGCTGTAGGCAAGCATCAGCCTAAAATGTTTCTGACCAATTGGGCTTGACGTGGTCTTAGAGAGTGTGCTGCACAGAAGTAGGGTCTGCAATTGTTGTTTCAGCAGCAAGGCCAAAGGGGGCAATATTAATTATAGATGAGGCATCTCATAGAAAACAGATGTTGGAACCTGTGCCCCTTACTCCAAGGTTGGTCCAAATCAAATTGCAGCCTGGTTTTTCCCCTCTCCCCATCCCCTAAACTAATCAACACTTTGACTGTATGCAACGTGTGCTTTGCTTTTAGTATCTACCTGCAGATCCACCCTGTTGTTTTCCGATCCTTTATGAGACACCAAAGTTAAGCTGTTCGTTCATCTCTGAACTCCCCTTGGCAGCACTGGAGATCCCCCTGTGACTTTATTTTTTTTTTTAAGACTACGAATGCATTATGCAGCTCATTGAAATGTTTTGTTTTTGTGGGGTTTCTTCAAAAGCAGTATTTTGTAGCTGCGCGCTCTCCACAGTTGCTATTAGCTGGCAAGCAGCTTCAGGACAAAGCAAATGAGAAGGCCGCAAGCCGTTGGACTCCTAAAGACTGTTCCCCTCTGCTGGGGATCCTGATTTCTCCATCACTGAGATGTTGGGATTGGTTGTGAATTTCAGAACAAGCTAGCAGCGTCCTCTCCCATTCTGATCAGTCACTGATCAGGTTGTAGTATTTTATGATCCATGTTTACAAGGCCTGTGAATCTCTTACTCTCAGGTTGATTGGGCAGCTATAGGCAGCAATAAAGTTTATGCTTTTTTCCCCCCCCATGAGAGAAGAAAACAAATCAGTTATATTTAACTGAAGTGCATCTCGGTTTTTGGTGTCGGCCTTGATTGCTACTATAAATAAATAGCACAAGCTGATACAAAGATCCAGCCACACCAAGGTCTAGGGGCAGGTGTTGTGTGCTGCCCATAGAGTAATTATTTTAGCTCCTGGGGCTGGAGTTGCTTCCCTTTTTTGCTTGAAAAGCCTAAAAGGCTTTTATAAGAATTGTTGCCCTCTAGTTGAGGGATGTGGACTGCCTTGTGTGAACTCCTCTGCTCCTTTGTCTGCTTAGTCTGGAGGAAACCACACTATAGATACGGAATACAATGCTGGTGGCTTGTGAATTGTTATACAGAAATCCATCAGAGCACTTTAGAGTATTTACATGCAACAGCCAACTGCCTAGGCTAAATGTACACGTGCGTTTTGTATTCCAGAACCCGAGCAACTTCCAGAGAGGAGAAAAACCTCCAGAGTTTTATGGAGCATCCCAAGGAGAAATGGGTGGAGAGTGCCTACGAGGTGGATGGGCCCCACTACTACACAGTTCTGGCCCTGCACATCCTGCCCCCAGAGAAGTGGAAAGCCATGCGGGTGGAGATCCTGAAGAGGCTCTTGGTTACCTCGCACGCGCGTGCGGTGTCGCCAGGGGGAGCCAGCAGGTTGGTAATCCCGGCAATCCCGGCCTTCCATTCATTCCCACAGCTGTCTGGGGAACATACTCATGTTACCTTCACACTCGTTAGAGTTGCATAGCAACAAATGCCGGATTGAGCAAAGGAATGTTTATGTTTTGGAAGAGTCAATATTAACCCTTTCTGTATGTGTTTGTATTTAAGTCCCGAGGACGCGGGAACATTTAATGATATGCCCTCATTAGGATGCACTTGTTCACTTGGGATTGCTTGGGTTTTCTTCCATACGGTTAGATATATTCCCTCCCCCACCCTATGAAAGAGGGCTTGAAATAGCAGTCTGCTTTGCACATTGCATTCACTTCCAGAGCTTTAAGCTGTATCTAGGGTGATGGTGATGACGAGAGAATAAAGTAGGGGAGAGCCGGTGGGTTAGAGATCACATCACTTACTCAGCGCTGCCTGCTGCTTAGCAGTGAGCGGGATTAAATGTATACGACAGCTTTAGCCACCTCTATCATGACTGGAGAAAATCTCTTGGAAAGGTCTGAAGGGCCTTTCTGAGACTTGATCTCCTTCCTTTTCTCCTAAAGGGAGCAGTTAAATTCAATTTGGTGTGTTACAGAACAGTGGAAAAAATGTCACTTAACTGGCACTGTTGAAGCTTTCTGGGGAAGATGCCGTACAGAAAATGGTTGTAAACAACTTAAAAGATCCTCTGGGAGGCATTCAAGTGGCACTGCCAAGCTGAGTAAAATTTGATCTAACTTCTCTCCCCCACAAAAAGAATTGCTGCTGGGGTTTGTTTTGTTTTTTCAAGCTGATACCAGCAGCATTGTAGCAACAGATGGCTGGCCATGGCTAACAGCAGAAAAAATATTCCATGGGGAGGGGGAAATATTTAAATTCCAGTTTCTAAAAGGGTCATTTTTAAATAGCTTTCAGGATTACAAATAAATCTATATCTTGAGAATGGCCTTTTAGATGACTTACCAGTCTTTCTTTAAATAGTTGCTCCCATAATTATGTGCACGGCAATCTTGTTGGGTTACAGTAACATGCAACACGGCAAACATCTAAAGATAATGTTTCTGATGCATTTCGATAGCGCTGAAGTGGTCTCTGAGCCTTTAAGGGGCTGTCATCCACTGTATTGATTTCTTTTTAGTTTCTGCTGTTCAAGCTAAATCAGCCCTTGATTCATGTCTTACTGTCCATTTCCACTGCCTCTGCTCTGGAGCTCTGGGAAAACGGGTTTACTGCTGAAGGAGACATTGTCTCGGGGGTCTGGCTTCAGCGCTTCCACCTTCAGAGACAATAGGACCTGCAGTATTTCACTGTGTCTGCAGAGGAGCCTAGAAAAAATGATGGCCTTCTGTGCTTTGATATGCATCTTTTGAGTGTAATACGGCCGGAAATCCCCAGTAAAATGCCTGGTCTTTTCTTTTCCTGTGTAACTAGTACACGATTATTATTTCTGAGCATGTGTACAATGAAAGCGCCTCAAAATCAGCATAGCAGAAAATCTGTCCCCTCTTTCCATATCCCCAAAACCTCAGGAAGAGCCGTGGTGGCTGGCTTTACAGGCATGTCGCAAGGATTCCTCAAGTGCCAACTCTTTCCTTTTGGGAAAAGCAGTCCTGTGCAGGCTGCATGGTCTGAGGCTTATGAACGAAGTGGTTAACGTAAATTCTCACCCGGATTCTGGTGGCAGGTGCCAACAGGTGTGTCTCTGCTCCATGTCAAGGAGCTGTCAAACTTGCCGAGCTGATGCCTAACCTTCCCTTCTGTGTCCGATTAGCAAAGCTAAGAACCACATTAGCCAACTGCCATCTAACCCCTCCAGAAGCTACAATTGCCTACATGGTCAGTGGTATCAAAGGGCCCGATCCCAAGAGGCAGCAAACACTTGCAACTTTCTTGGATGCCCCAGCTTCAGACCCAAGGCTAAAAGAACCAACATTGAAAAGCCTGTTAGAAAGTTACCCTTGACTCCACTGGTACAAGATACCAACCAACGGCCGCACGCATTGAGTTAGGGCTGAACTGGGAACTCCGGCAAGAGAAATCTTGCAGACAAACTCTGCAGAATGCAGATGCTGTGGGAAGCTTGGGTGGGGGCGTCCTTTTGATTTCTTTGTCTTTGTTTCCGTCTCCAACCTTCATAAAATATTCATGAGAGACGCGCAGTTCCCAAAGTGTTAATGCCGAACTTGCTGCTGGAAATCCATGCATGGCTGATGAACCAGCTTACATTAATGAAAATATAGCAGCTATTATACCAAGGAGCCGCTCCAGATGGCAGCCACATAGACTTAACCCACAAGGGCCTTTTAGTTTTCAATTAAAGGAGCAGAGTCCAATGATATCAAAACCACTCGCATGAAAAGAAATCGTCTCGACACTATGTGGCGATCGAGAATTATCTGTGCTCTGAGCTGCTGTTCTTCCCATGGAAATTTAGTCACCTTTACTAATTGGTTTTCCTTTAAATAATTAAGCCTGGCTGCACCAGCGGGCTGCCACCTACCAAGCCACATAGGACAGGGAAAGGGAAGATCGCTTGCCCCCACCCCACACGTGTGGTTTCTTAGAACGGAGGTTGTAGCCCAATATCGGTGATGGATTGCAGCTCTGTGTCATCCAAAGGGGTCCTTTTCTCCTGTGCTAATTTGCATCAGTGGTAGCTGAACTGATTGTGAATTCATGTCATGGAGGGTGTTAGACTCCTTTAAAGTGACCAAGAGGAAGCAGCCGGTAGTGAAGAAAGGCAGGTGAGCCTATAAGAATTTCTGCAAGAAAACTGCAAACCCATTAGTGTTGGTAGGAGCTCTCACCTTGCCACCACCTGCAAGTCATTATCTCAAATTTTCTCCTTGTAAAAGCCAGCCAAAGGGGAGTTATGCCAGCCTTTGCTACTCTTGTGGCTGCATAGCAGTTCCCCAGGTAGATACTGAAGTGCCCAAAGCTAAATCAGGATGCCTCTTGGGACAGTTGTAGAATTGAGGAAAGTGAACCAAGATGGAAATTCCCACATTTGTTAGTGGGTTTCCATTCTGTTTCCAGAGGTGGGAGTGATGTAGTCTTGGGCTGGTGGAACAGTCGGTGAGAGGTCTTCATCCCCCACTATGGAGCAACGATGTGCTGCGAAATGTGTTGTCTTGAGACAGCGTAGCGCACAACATGGATGCAGTTAGGACCCTGAATATAGCCACATCTACAGGCTCCCAGGTTGAGTGCTGTTTTGTGATCGACATCCTTGGAGGACTCAAGTCTGTCTCTTTGCAAGTAACACCATAAATGACGAACAAACTAGGAAGAACTATTTCTTCGTGCATCTGAGAGTCTTTTGCATATAGTCCTTTTTCACTTTTGCCGCATGGAATTGAACGTGTTAACAACTGTGTCAAACTGAGCCAGTCAGAACAGAAGGGGACTATTGGGACCTTTCATGTCACCAGGTAAAGGATGTAACAACCTGCCAAGCAGGTCCAGGAACAAGTACCGAAAGTACCAAGATTTGTTCCACGCTCATTCACTGCATCAAAACCGTTCGCTCAGGGGGCTGCATGGTTCAGGCACCGAAGCACTGAACTGTGGGGCTGCAGAATCTTTTCCCAGTTTTGCTGTGGACTTGCTCTGCCGTCTTGGGTGAATACTTCCATTTTCGCAGGCTATGAAATGGGAGGTGTTAGCTGACCTGTCTAGATGGAGCTTGCAAGGCAGCTTACCAGTGCGAGGAAATCTATGTGCAGAGGTCTAAGCCTAGACTAGTATGGCGATGCTAAATGGTTGTTCAACATCCTGCTGCACAGAACAAAGCGTATTCACAGCAACATTCCCCCGTGTATTATTGATAGGCTTTTTGGCTGTTAGCGCTTTCATGCTATTCATCAAATGGGTTATAAAGCAGAGTAAAGTGATTAACTCAAAGCCTGATTCTACTTTCCTCCTAGGCTGACAGATAAGACAGTGAAGGAATACTCAACATATCGCTCTGGCCTTCTCTTCTGGGCCCTCGTAGATCTCATTTACAACATGTTCAAGGTATGTTCTGTCTGGTTCTCTGTGTGGGATGTTAAAGCCAGCCGGTCAGCTTTCTGGTCTGCAGTGTAACTGCACGTCTGCCTTTGCCGGTCTGCTCTTCACAGATTCACAGAAGTTTAGGGCTGGGAGGGACCTCGTGAGATCATAGACTGCTGGGGTCAAATAACCCCAGCAAGGTGTGCGTCCATTTGGGGCTGCAGCCCAGTCCCTTCCAACTCCA